AATCACAAACTTGATAGCAAACTTACTGTCCATTTGTTTTCTTTGCTGTCGATTTTTTTCAGTTTGAATTTTTTCATCTTGGCATAAAAAATAAGTATCGTAACTTATTTTTTTCACTGGATATTTTTCTCCTTGGTTATTGTAAACGGCTTCATCGAAAATGTAGATGTATGAGCGACCAAATAAATAGAATTTGTAATTAGTCACAAATCCTTTCAATACTGGCCATTGAACTGGAATGCCCGAACGACATTTGATTTTCTTTTCCATCCTAATTCTCGTATTTTGTGGATTGGAGCATATTAAATATTTACTTCCTTCGGTAGGTATGATTGACATATTCTTAAAATTACTATCATCATCATATCGATCAATATTCATGTACAAATTATTATCCTTAATAACTAATGAATAATAATGGCGTGGCTTGTCGCTTGAAACAAAAACTTTGTTTTTCTTATCAGATGGGACCGATTCACCAAACACTTCAGAAGTGTCGATGTTATAATGGAGTTTTGATTCCTCAGAAGTTAAAAAAATCCAATCATCTTTTCCATCGTTTATTATAAATGCATTATCAATTTTAACCATTGTTCGAATATCAGCAAAGATTTTATTCTTGAACAGAATTGGATATTTATTTTTGATTGGTGTTGGCTTTGTTGGTAGATATAATTTATCACGTTCCAAGTAATTGATTGGGACATCATACACAAAGAAATCCTTTGTTATCAATAATATTCGTTCTGATGTTGTTCCAATCGCAAGTATTTTGAATTGTGTGTTATTATTATTCTTGAGACTTTCACAGATTAGCTTTGTTATCAAATGTGAAATGTTTTATAATTAGCATATCAAATGTATTCATAATATCTATTAAAAATAGTACTTACATCTTTTTTTATTGCAGTCATTTTCATTTCATTATCCGTTCGGATTTCCGACGTAATCAACAATATCAAATAGAAGACATGAATAAATTTCATATTTGATAAGCACATTTTAAGCAGATTTCTTTTGTAAAATTAAAGCAATAACAACAGGAAAAATAAAATTCGTCATCGAAAACTGCGATCCTATCGTCTATTATCAACGCTTTTATATGATTTGTTGCCAATTCGAACAGTTCAATTTGTTCATTAATTCGAATTTCAACAAAATAATCTTTTGCATGTAAAATGTTATGAAACAAGGTCTAACAATCGAATTCCTACAATTCGATTGTTCTAACAAA